CTGCGCGCGGGGGCGGGCGGCGACGCCCTGCCGCCCCTGCGACGGCGGCAGGGCTCATGGGGCTCCTTCTCGTTCTCGGCGGCGAGTGAGGGGGGATTGTTTTTGATTTGCGCGCGGGTGATCGTCTGCCGAACACTCCTGCCCGTGGCGCCGAAACGACGAGCGAGGGGCCCGAAGAAGGGCCGAAAGAAGCGAGGGACGGACCAGGACCCGAACAGAGCCGAGCGAGGGACCGACCCGAGCACACAGGGACAACGAAAAATCGAGGGCCCGAAACACGCGATGCTGGCAAGACTGGTGAGACAATTTGAACCCCGCGTCCTGGCTCCTGGGCTTCCAGCCTCAACCTGCCAGGCAGCACATTATACAACAGACCAGCAAGGCGGCGGAGAGCCCTTCCTCTCTTCGCGAGCCTGGGCTGGGGGGGGGGGGCAAAAGGAGCACATAAAGGATGAGTGGGCGCAGGCGGTGCGGGTGCCTGCTTCTCAGCGCCTCTGTACCCACTCATCCTAAGCCTAATGTCCGACTGAGAGAAACATAAGAGGCATGCAACAAAAAAACCCAAGCGGCGGGCGGGCAAGAGTCTTCTCTCTTTGCGAGCCTGGCCAGGGGAGGAATGACAAGACACAGAAGGATAAGTGGGCGCAGGCGGAACGGGTGCCTGCTTCTCAGCGCCTCTGTACCCACTTATCCCAAGCCTACCCAACTGTCCGACTGTCCAACTGTAAGAGAGAAAGCACAGACAGAGAGGCGTGCACAAAATCCCCAAGCGGCGGGCGGGCAAGAGTCTTCTCTCTTTGCGAGCCTGGCCAGGGGAGGAATGACAAGAGCACAGAAGGGATAAGTGGGCGCAGGCGGAACGGGTGCCTGCTTCTCAGCGCCTCTGTACCCACTTATCCCAATCCTACCCTACTGTCCGACTGTCCAACTGTAAGAGAGAAAGCACAGACAGAGAAGCGTGCAAAGGTGTGCAAAATCCCCGCGCGGCGGGCAGGCGAGAGTCTTCTCTCTTTGCGAGCCTGGCCAGGGGATGGATGGCAAGAGCGCAGACGGGATAAGTGGGCGCAGGCGGAACGGGTGCCTGCTTCTCAGCGCCTCTGTACCCACTTATCCCAAGCCTACCCTACTTCCTGGAACTGTCCTCTGTAGCGGCCAGGAAAGGGAGTACTGCAGAACAACACTTCTGGCGGCTGGTGTCGGGGATCCGAGTAGTCCTGCCAGCATATCCCAGGATGCATCCACCCCTCCTCCAAAGCCCGAGAAATCTACGGAGCCTCTAAAAGCCATGCAGGATCAAACAATGCCTGAAAATTAAAGACATCGTGAGGGGCAGGAAAAGCATATATAACGTTGACGTTGTCAACCGCAATTACCTCACCGACTGGTTGATCAGTGCGGGGGTCACGACCATCGCACATGCGCCGAAGCCGTGAGATGGTGCCAGAGGCCCGAGGGGGCCCAGTGCATGATTTAGTTAAATCAACGGCCTTTTTGCAAGAGTAGCGGCCACATCGTCGACAAAATATGCTATTATTTAGCCGCCTGAGCACGTGCCCACCACCAGTGGGAGAAGAGCACTGCGAACGCAATAAGTAGCTCTTGGAGACTGAACTAGCCCAACAATTCACACAACGAAAACGACCGCTGAGGGGTCCCAGAAGTGCTCATGCAAGGCCCCAGAGGAGGCACCAGAGAGGACTAGGGATGGGGCCGTGGGGGCAGGGGACTCATCATAATCCACCGCCCAGACCTTTTTGGGCACATTCTTAAAAATCCATGTTATACAGTGACCGATATACACACCAAGATTGCGCACCAGCATACCAGAGCGCTTGATACGGTCGTGCAGTACCGTGTCCACAGTGTGTAGGTCTGCACCTAGGTTAGCAAGTCTGCCGGCTTGCTTGATACCCACAGAGGAAGAGTGGCCACGAACCTTGGTGACCTTAATTAGGTGATACCCGAAATCTGAAGCCGCACGGTGGACACGGACCCACAAGGATGTGTGAGTGGCCCATCCGTGCGTGGTAGCTTCATACCCCATTGCCCAACCGTTGACGACATACTGGGCATCAGTGACACATTCATAGCAGTCGGAGGGGGTAGCATGGGTTAGATAAAACAAAAAACGCGTAAAGCTCAGCCCCTGAAACATCCTGGGTGAGAAATGGATATACGCCATAGGCACCAGCACTAAGCCGAAGCCGATCATTGGCGACGGGCTCACCAAAAACATTTCGACTACGCGGAGCAAATGAGCAAACACCCCATCCACAACGGAGAGTGAGCGGCGAGGGACCATGCTTTCCCGAGCCGTCTCCGTACGCAAACGACGAGAAAAAAGGGGCCGTCTGTGGCCCCTTCCCAGACAGGGTCTGGGAAAGGTGGTGCCAGCAGGGAGCAATAGCGCGGGTCGGGAACCATGGCAGTGGTCCAGACAGGGTTCTCGCGGTACTGCTCTACGCAACGGGTGAGGGCAGGAGTCGGGCCGAACCAACGACGAAACTCCACAAGCCCATCACACTCATACAGGGTGTGAAACACGGGGTCAGAAGGGACAACCTGGCAAATGGGGCACATAGGTTTAAAGTATATGCCCCCAGATATAAAAGTCCTCAAAGCACGTTGCTGGATGACACCCCATCCTTCAGCCTTTTTGGACAACAAAGAAAGAAGAGGGGGGAGAAAGGGGGGTCCACACAAATGACTGAAGGATGGGTGACGCTCAGGGGCCTGTTTCCAAGCCCAAACAGACGCGTCGCGAATCACTAGTGCAACCACCTCACGAGGGGAAGTAGACGAAATATCAACCTCCGTTCCAAGAGAAGTTCGCCATAATGTGGGCGAAACCGCAGACCACCCAATTCTACGCATAGTGGCAACCAAAATCTGTCCTGGGCCCTGTAATTCAATCCACGGGGTATCTGGCGTCACCTTGGCGTGGACAAACTGGAAAACTTGGTCTATCATTCCAACGGGAAGAAGAGAGTCCCATCTAGAGACGGTCCAGAGGCGAATAACATCAGCATGTGCGTCAATAGCAGGGTCGGTAACACCGTGCAACGCCAAATCCATCGTGACAAACCTACGCTTACCTGTGCCGAGACCAGCGTGGTATATAACACGAACCTGACGAACCTGATGAGTAGATAGGCCGACGACATCAATGCAGCACATCACAGTGGACCGCAAGTTAGAGTTAACATTGCCTGCAACCTTTGCACCAGCCTTCTTTATCTTCAGTAGGCGTCGGGCCTTAAACCTTGCCTTTTTTAATCGACCAATGAGAACGGTACGAGAACGACGCCCCTGACGTAACTGGTAGTCAATCCCGAGGTTGCGACGCGAGAACTTGACAGCACCAGAGAGACGTGGAGTTTCAGCTGCGATGCCCTGGGCCAACTGGGGGTCGGTAACCACGGAGAGCGGTAAACATGCGAGAAAGTCAGCTTGCTCATCAAAAGGTGCGACGCATCGGGACCGAGTTTGAACAACTCCCTCTCCGAGCCTATCCCCAGGACCTGGGCGTCGTCGGCGACGAGGCCGAGGTGCATATTAGGATATGACTGACGAAACGAGTCCAGCTCGGGCATCAATAAAATACGCATAAACAGATCGGCAAATGAGCAACCTGCCACAATAGTCTTGCTAGCTCTGACCCACTCCCCAACGATTCGCCGCAGCGTGACAACACGTGGGGAACGATGCAGAGACAGGAAAACCCTCAAGAGAGCAGGATGAATGCCAAACTCACGAGCACGTCTTATGAGAAGTTTATGGCGAACCTGTTCAAAAGCCTTATGGATGTCGAGCAAGAGTGCAAACGCAGACAAACCTTCGGCGGAAGCCAACTCCGTGAGCACGCCCATGCGCCACACACATGCTTGGCAGGAATGACCGCGCACACCAAACACGTACGGACGAGGACGCAAACGCGTCCACGTAGCACCGTACGTGTGCCTGAAGAACCGAGAGAACGTGCGCATACACGTCGTGAATAGGGCAACCGTACGCTCGCCACCATCAGCCTTCGGGATCGAATTCATGGTGAACACAGCGAGAATGGGAGGAAATCTACCCACTCGCAGGACAGCACGCCAGATACCAAACAAGGCAAGAAGAAATGAGTCAGAAAACAGCGCATGATGACGTGGATGCATAGAGTCCAGTCCGACCGACGTACGAGCTTTGTACCTGCGACACATCTGCCTGTACTTGTCCAAGGACGGGTGGGGCAAGGATGCAAGGCAGTCGGGCGGAAACGGCGGGAAATCCAGGGCCAGGCAAGGATCATCAGGGTGCCCCTGCATGGGCTCCCAGATAGCATGCCAAACTCCTTCTCGCGCCTTAAGGTGATGCTGCGGCGTATCGACTGGGGCATCTGGGTTCGGGGTGGTCTTGTCAAAGGAGGCCCAATCCATAGATCCCTTGACGAAGCGGTGCGCAGCAGAACCCCCTTCCTAGACAGATCGGATGGCCCATGATGTCCAGGATTGGTATCTCTGTGCAGATGCTGCACGTTCCAGAGCAGATGCGGATTCAGCCAAGACGCCCCGCAACCAATCTATGGAACCAAGATCTAGGGTACCAAGCCTGTTGGCATAGTACCTCCACCATGACCAATCGGGGGGGGGACCGCCATCACGCTGCGCAGGGCGATACCGCCGCAGGGCTTGACATGCTCTCCGATAAGCTGGCCACAACTGCTTGTCAGCAAGATATAGAAGAGTGCCAAGACGGTTAGAGGGACACCTCCAAAGCCTTCCTTCATATGACGAAAGCACACCTCCAGGGAACAGTCTGGAAACCGAAATCTGGATAGTCGAGGGGGGCTCACCCCACTTGGTGTAATCCTGCGGGTCTGGCAACTGGAAAAGGGCAAGCAACTCCTGGGCAGACGTCTTCAGCCAAGAAGAGGTAAGACGCTCCAAACCTTCCACAGTGTTGACTGCGTCAGGCTCAGGAAGGGCATCCCAGGAAGGCGGACAATTTGAACACCC